GCTCAGCCAGGTCATGTCAAGCTTCCAGTCGAGCTTCGGCGCCGGCTTTGGAGGAATTGTCTCCCGTATGTGACTTCCCCTTTCCTCTAGATGAATCACTGTCCGCTGACACCTCTGATAAATGTTCTCTTACTCTCTAGCCTTCCAACAACTCATGCCGGCTTTTCAATCCTTCGTTCAGCAGTCCCAGCAAAGCTCTAGTTACAGCAGCTTCTCCCAATCTGTCACCCCCTTCATGAACATGTTGTCGCCCTACATGTCAGGAGTCGGTGGCTTCTAGATCTGGTACACTACACACGTTCAACAGCGTGTGGCTCTGTTTCCATTCCTATGTGATGATTTTGAGGCGCATCTTGATAGTTTGGCTTCGCGTACTCATGAACTGCCTTTTCTTATCGTTTATGACATTGTTGCGTCATGATTTGCTTGCATTCCCCTCGATCATGAACGTTTGTCGTGCATTCGTCAGTTGGAATACCATCTCACGATCAGTTCTTCTACCTCTTTCAACACCGGAGCCCCATCTCTCGTGTCATGCATCATGCAACACCTACACCTGTTTTGCTCACAGGGCCTTATTCCTGTACAAAGAGAGACACGGAGCTACCCTGGGGTAAAAATTCCATTTTCATTTTGTGTGAGAAAGAAATTCAATTATTGTTCATGAAACTTGAGTCCAGTGTGGTATTCCACTTTTGTTTCAAAGTAAAAAGCATATTTCACAGGTATCATGATAGCATATTGACATGTACAATATGTTCATTAAAAGAGGAGAAAAATAATCATGGTATGTGAGCAGAGAAAGCAATTGACTTCTGACATCAAACCCCTGAAAATTCATGATCTCTCACTGCAATGCTCAATTGCCTGCAGTAGACATGCAGCATGCTCCAGCCAAGCTAGTCAGAGGCCTGCAGTGTCCAGTTGTACTTAAACCCCCTGGTGACATGTGCCAGGGGTGTCCACTCCCTTAACTCAAGACCCCGCACTCAGGCAAACAGGGGATGACTCCTCATCCTGCAATCTACATACTCAGACCAGAGCACTCACTCACTCGAAACCTGGAACCGTCCTCTCCAACAACAGGCCTTTTCATCTCACACATTGGCGCATGTGTGTCGCTGGTGACACAAGTCTTCCAAAAGCACGCAAGTTATTGTCTTGGGCAGCAACTAGAGCCAACCACAGTGACTGTTGCAGGGAGGAAAGACATTGCAAAAAAAGAAAAAGAAAAAATTGCATCTCCTTTCCTTCATGACCACAACATAATGAATCATCAAGAAAAGGGTGGAGGAACAGCGTAACAAACAGAGAAATTACAACAGCACATGGAAGACACATAAAGGACAAGGCTGGCCAGACTTTTGAGTCCGGTGTGGTTTCTAATATGCAAGGAAAATGAAAAAAAAAAAAGAAATAGATGTATCCTAGAGAGCAAAGAAAACCTGAAGTGGCCAGGCAGAAGTCTAATCAGAGGAACAGGCCAAATTATAGTTGGCTGTAAAAACTACCAGTCTTCCTCCCCTTCTGGAATGGTCCTCATCACAACGTCATCATGAGCTTTGTCATAACTGTCATCTTTGCTGTTGATTCCATATCCTTCTGCCTCCCCCTCATTGTCATTGGATGCAATAAAGTCTCTGTCTTTGTTGTCGTCGTACAAGTTGCCAGCTTAGCCTTCCTCAAAATTCTCATCCTCCGAAGCATCTGGGCTTGGTTGTGTCAAATTAATTCCCTTTCCTTCTTCGTCCAAATGACTGTTTTCACCGGCAGATTTTTCCTCAGCAGACAAACCAGGTCCTACAAGGCCATATGGCTTGGCCAAGAGATCCCAATATTTCTTGGTGAAGGTTGAGTCGCCCAATTTTTTGTCCGGGTGTTTTTGGGCTTTTTGGAATAAAGATTTTTCAGTATTTGGGAGAAAGGAAAGCACATTTTGGTTGGGTATGGATTCCTTCTGCGCAAGGAGACCATGATACCATTTTGGATCATAGAAGTTGATGGGAAAGCTTGTAGGTGGATATCACAGGTTTCTTTGGACATCTGCGGACTCAGTGGCTACTTGTCTTAGCTAGGGGGTCTTGCTTGGCCGCGTTTATCATCACAAGATCCAACTGACAGAATAAATGGTTGGCATTCTTGGAGAGGTAAGGTAGGGTTTTGATTTTGTAGAATCCTTTGCCTTCTACTTGCTTGTCGTCACTGTGGGCAGTGAGTGGTTCCAAGAAATCTTGATATTGCTTTGGGGATTTGTTGAGAATGGCCAAATCAAGATGTTTGTCCCTCAACTAGATGAAGCACAAAAGAGAGTCAGCAAAGCAAAGAAGTTTTAAAAAGCTAAAAGGCTTGTACATACCCTCTCACGGTTCTTGTTGAATTTCTTGTTGTTTGCTTCTTGGGAAACTTTGCTTTTCTCTTTCAACTCTTTATTTTACTTATCAACTTGAAGATAGTGCTGTAGGCCAGAATGAGCAAAGTCATATCCTGAGCCATCTCCAGTTCAATCTTGAGGTAAGCATACGCTGTGGTCAAGGCGAGTTCAGTAAATGTTGTCAGAGCATCAATTCAATGAGAAGAGTTGTACAAAGAGTTTGATTCTTCATCAAGGTTGGGGCACCAGACACATAGACCTAATCGACTTATAAGACCTTGAGCATAGGTAAAAAACTGGCTTCTGAGGTGGATGATGGAGTTCCTGTATTTGACTTGGCCTCTTTGAAGATTTTTGAAGCCTTGAACCTCATTGTTCTGGACATAGCTGGTTGAGCCACTCTTGACTGCGTCTTCAATCTGTTCAGTTTGACAAAATTGTTTGTAAAATTCTTCAAGGGTGCTGAGTTCGGGGGCTTGGGAACTGAGTCTTGTCTCAAGAGTCCCCAGAGTATTTCAATGTAGAAAAATAAGGCAGTCTGTACAGGAAATTTGGGAAAATTATGTCAGTCATAGATTGAGATTCTATTGGGGTAGAAAAACTTGACCTTTGTTGGTGTAAATCCGGGTGGAAAGTCTGCTGTCTGCATTTTCTCGGGATGTTGTTTGGGGGAGGGCTTTGGTTTCAAAATAGTGGTCTCTTGAGGTGGTTTGCGGGCTTTTGTAGGTGTCTTACTCAAGAAGACGGAGGGGCTGATGTTGCGTGCTGGCCTCTCTGAGGAGTCTTTTCTGCTGGGGCTTTCTTCTTTGAAGCAGAAGTAATTGGAGGATTTCCTGTTTGAGTGGTCTTGGCCTTAGACGTTGAGGCAGCCTTCTTGCCTTTGGCTGGCTGGGAGCGGGAGGTACTTGCATCCTTATTGGGGTTAGACTTAAGGGATTCAATTTCCTGGGTGAGCTTTGCAATGATAGCTTCACATTGGCTGGCCGGGGCAGCAGGGGTTGATGTATCAGCATGGTAATTTGAAGTACAGCGTGTAAGTCGGGAGGATTCTGAGACTGCTCAGTGGAGGAAGCCCAGGTGTTTTGAGATGGATGATAAGAGTTGAAATATATAGGATGATAATAGAAGCACGTTGTAGACAGGGGATTCAAGGTGTATCAAGCGGAGGAACACAGTTAAGATGTGGATGAGTTTTGATGAAGTTGGGGGGCATCCACAGTGGAGGTGTAGGAGGATTTTATAAGCGGTTAGTGTAGCAAGGGACAATCATAATATCTCATGCTTGATCAGCAATGAGTATCGGGGTGAGTACATTATGATGATGAGATGTGGATGAGTAGGCTGATGAGATGTGGGTGAGCTGTCGTTGCAAATAAATGAGTTGACGTCGCAGCTGATGCGGCAGGGTGCATATTCGAATGCAGCGACCGGGTGACCATAGAGACTTCAAAATCAGCGATTCGTCATATGGCACTGTAGCTCAGTTGGTAGAGCACATGCTTAACACTAATCCCAGCACGTTCGCATGTTGTCGTCGGTTCGAGCCCGGCCAGAGTCATATGTTTTGTTATTCCCCCACATGGCCCTCCCCGTGGTTTTTGATGTGTATGGCGTTGGGTTTGCCTGGTGGGATAGAAACATTTCAGAAGGAAACTAGATTTGCGCCGATTTCCAGTAATTACTAGGCCAAGTATGCCAGGAGGTAGGTGAGGGAGGTTAGTTATTCTAGACGGTTTCTTTTCCAATCGAACTCCACTCCAGTGTTGATCGACCTGAGGCCGACACTCCAGAAAAATTTGTGCTAGGCCTGCGTCTCGAATTTTACGACATTGGTTGCGAGTATCCCGCTACCACAGTCATCTTTATGGGGTTGCTCTAGGTGTGCAAGGTCTACCAACTTCTTTTTGAGCCAGGGCCTGAAACGATGATGCGTCACAAGTTGGGCCCAACGCTGTCTCGTGGTATCTGTGACGGGGGATTCGACTGAATGCGATCGGATTCTATCGCGCAAATTTCATACTGCTGGTTCGTCGATAGCCTCGAGAGGCGACAATGCCACCAGACAGAGGCCTCACCCACACAAGAGAACAGATTTAAGGAATAAGCAGGCGCATGGAGTTTACCTAGTCAAGTGGATGAGCATACAAAATGGAAAATCTCTTGAAGTACTTATTAGGTAAAATTCGAGCCATCGCCGGCTGGCCGGCAGATGGAACGAGACGAACAAGTTTCACTAGGCCTGAGTAATATTCCAGTCCCCCTGGGCCCAAAAAACACACCCGTTAGACAGGGAAATTACATCACTGTTCTATGGCTTGATCTTTCAATGGACAGAATAACTCAGCCTAGGGATAGTAGCTTTGATGAGGGTATCAATAGTAAGCCAAGCCTCTGAATCTTTCTGTAAAGGACTTCCTCTTCTGACCCTTATCATCCGCTGAATATCAACATGTCCCAACTCTAACCACCCCCTGAGTTTCTTCCCAAAGATCTTATCCTTACTCGCCTTAGTCGGGATAAACGCTCCACCTCACCACCTGGTAGATCCTATTAATCAATCTTCGAACCTTAGCTGACCAACTGGTGAGCATCATGTGCGTCGTCGCGATACAGATATACATCCGCACTCATATCCCCCACGGTCTGCCCTAAAATCTTCAGCCCCAACATGAGTTCTTCACGGAAAAAAGATGCTATCATGATGATATGGTTGGTTTTCATCGCTACGATCTCGATAGTAGGCGGGGCCAAGGTTCCTATGGAGGACGCCAAGGATGCAACGCTGCAGCCGAGTGTGTTGTTTGAAAAGCATCAGGCACCGACGCGTCTCCTGAGGCTGGGTGAGCCACCGGGACGGCCACAGTATTACGCTTCAAATCGGCCTGAAAAACACGCGCTTCGAAGCCTCGATCAATGATCTCTTGGCATGCCGGATCCCAGTCATCCTACCTTCCGTCCACATTTGAATGACGAGGAGTTTGCCGAGTTGATCCAACCTGACGACGAGTCTATCCAAGCCGTCGTCGCGTGGCTCACAAATCACGGCTTTCAAAGTCATCATATGAAATGGATTCCTCACAAGGATTGGATTAGCTTGGAAAAAATCCCGTTGAGAAAAGTGGAATACATGCTCAATACGACCTATTCTATCTATCAAGACCAAGACGGTGAACAAATCGTTCGAACAGAAGAATACAGCTTACCGGAGCTTCTTCATCCTCATATTGAGCTGATCCAGGTAAGCATTCATTCCGAAGCTCTGTGTGATTTAATCTTATTGTTCTTTGATATTCAAATTGGTCCTATCTCCTTACTTTTTTGATCACGCTCTCTGTTATTCCTGAAGCCCACTACAATGGTAAATTTGTCGAATTTATGTCGACCCCTGTGCACAACTTTGTAACTGAAGCAGCCGAATCGGTTGTATTTCCCAGTTTGGGATTTTGCACAAGCAACGATCACGAGTGAGCAAGATATCGGAAGTCTCAGAAGTGACCAACATGAGATTACTGGATCACATCCCAGATATTTGTCCAGGTCCCATTCTTGTGATAAGAAAGCTGTCTACGCCAGCTCTAGAAAACTGAAGACTACAAAGTGCAGGTACCAGACAGGAATATAATTGCCACTACGGGCTATCTCGGAGAGTCTTCCAATTCGGAAGACGCTCAGTTGTTCTTGAAAACTCAAAGATCTGACCAAGTCGGCAAATCTTTTGATTCTGTGCTCGTGAACGGCGGAAGTAATCCCAAGGAGTTCAACCAAGAACAGATTGACCGGCAACTAGGTGAGATCTAAAACATTGATAATCCACAGGCTGCGTTTAACTTCATTATCAAACAAACTTCCATCATGATAGGCCAATCTTGACACCCAAACGACGCTAGGATTGACTCTCCCAACACGGAACATTTTTTACTCGGTTGGAGGCAATCCACCTTTTATCGCAGATTTGGGAACACCTAAGAATGATAATGAGTCTTTCCTCGAATGGTTGCAGTATCTACATCGGCAGCCAATCGAGAAACTGCCGAAGGTTATCAGCTCATCTTGTGAGGAATTCTTTTCCATCTCCATTAATGAAACCAGGAGTCAAAAAATAAAAATAAAAAATAGGGTATTACCGAACTGAAAATCGATTCATGCCAAATATTCCAATCGGCCAAAATGATTAGATGGAGATGAAGAACAGTCTGTTCCCTTGAGCTACGCGCATCGAGTCTGTAATGGCCTAGTAAGTTAAAATCTTCCCACCGGCCTAGTTTCGGAAAACTCAAGAACCATAAAATGAGAATCCGGGAAATTGACTTCATCTCCTCGTTGATCCCCTGCGCGCATATCCTTCAGTGTAACAGCAGTTGGTGGAACTGAAAACTTTTACCCGGAAGTGGCTGTATCTAAATCCGGCCTGGCTGGTTTCGCCAGCGGCGGTGGTTTCTGTGAGTTGCCTAAAGCTTCACTTATCTTGGGTTACACGTCCATGTCGCTTCATCCCTTTCTGTTCCTTTTTTTACTTAAGACTTTTCAGATCAACTACCTGTTTCTAGTACCGTACTGGTCTAATCAAATACATATTACCTCTTGAAGCCAACTACTTTCGCAGTCCCAAATGGCAGCAGAAGGCGGTGCATCGCTACCTGCAATATCTTGGACCAAGCAAGATCTTTATAATCGAACTGGAAGAGGTTATCCCGATGTATCCGGTCAGGGGAGTAGGTATGCAATAGCCTGGCAGCAAACATTTCTCAATGGCGAGTCGCCATTCTCTAGTTTCTGTCCTGGCCGTGAAAGCCTACCAATATAGCTGACCCCGAGTCTTGAATCCCCTTGCCTGCAGTTGATGGCACCTCAGCCTCTGCACCGACTTTCGAATAATCGCACTGCTTAATGACTATAGCATCTCACTAGATGGTCCCTCATTGGGTTATCTCAACCCATGGCTTTATGCGACCGGTTACAAGGGGTTGAAAGACATTACATTGGAAAGTGCCAGTGGATGCAATACTTCTGGGTTTAGAGCCACTGAAGGTTGGGATCCGTGAGTACTGATCACTAGACTTCTGCAAAACTAACCCTTGACTCATGCACACATTCACATTGCGTAAATTCAGCGTGACCGGCCTAGGAACCCCAGATTTCAAACAATTACAAGACCTCATCAGGCCTTGGAGCTTGGCAATGGAACAAAGCCAGAAGGCTTTCCGATCGAAGCTTCCAACCAGCTCTGGCAGTCAACGCAACTGAAACCCACCATTACATATTTCTGATGGCTCCAAGACTTTCATGGTCTCTTCGCACAAACCTTGTAATCCGCGGTACCATTCTCGTTGCCTCAGAGCAATTTTCGGCTCAAGTAGCATTTCCTGGTGGTAGTGTGACTCCTTTTTTTTGAGAAACATCCTGTTCAATCTTGTGACATCTTTTTTTCTTTTAATGCAATTCAAGCGATTAAAATCAGGAAATTTGCGTAGAATTTTGTCTCTCCACTTACCCAGAGATCCGTTCCACACGTGGATTGTACACTAAACTCCCCAAGCCCTGAGTTTCAAACACTTGCTTGCAGTTGGTTTGAAAAAGATGTCTTGTTGGAATCAGGCTTACTAAGGCCCCTAACTTGTTGGAATTTGATTAGAATCATCGCAACATCATGAACTGATTAAATATGAAAGGTTTATCCACAGTTGTTTCAAAATATGACTAAAAATATTGTCATGAAGTGTCTTCTTCATTTTCGCATGATTTTCCATGTGTAAATATTTCTCCAAGTGGAGCCACTAGCCAGATTAGGTAGAGCCTTTTGAAGAGAAGATTTAAGGAAAATATGGGAATATGAACTCAAGACCTTTTCTCAGGTCATGGTCTATTGACATAACTCAATATTAGCATACTCGGCAACCAGGACGTTGATGATAATTCAAGTTGTAACCTAATCTAAACCTAGTCTGTCATACTTAAATAGGTACCATTGTACTGTTTCTATTTTTCTCATTCAGGTTTTCTTTTTGTTCCAACTCATTATCATCCCTTCAGGTTTGATCACCTCTCCCGGTCTCATCATCTCGTTATGTGTGTTCTCACTCGTTGGTTTCCCTCAAAAGAAACTTGCTGCGGCTGTAGTTTCTACATGGTCCATGGGGTAATAGATGGTTAGTTTTTGCAGGCTAAAACCATGTGAAAGATATTAATAGAAGAAAAATGCTTCAACTTGATAGTGTTTGGTTTTCTAAAATCTGGAAGCTACATCTCCTGGTTTCCAGATTCGAATAAGGGGAAAATCCTCTCAATTTTCACAACAGGAAAGTAATATGGAACGGTGGAAATCGACTGTTAAGCCAAACATTTTCCCCACCCCTTATAGGTGTTAGGCTGGCTTGGTCAAGAAGGAAAAGAGGGAGCTATATGAAGGTTAATTCTAGTCCTCATCATTGAGACTAATTGATCCGATTTCTGAAGCCCCATGTTGTCCTTGTGGTGCAGCAGAAGATTTAAAAACGCGTGGTACATACCAGCGGCGGGCCTGGAAGCTAAGCAGTGTCATGATCACCACAACATGCTGTT